GTGATAATAAACATTCATATCAGATTATTTTAAATATCTAATTAATAAAATTACTTTTGCTACTAATTAAATTAATCAAGTGAAATAAATAGATAAAAGTAATATACGATAGTGAGATTTGCAAACTTGAATAGATTGTCTCAAATACCTTGATTAACAAATATTCTTTTTGCTCATATAGTAATTAATGCAAACAAAAATAAGCTTGCAAGGACAATACACAATGGTAAATAATCATGAATCTGGCAGCTTATCTTGTTCTTTTTAAATAAACAAGGTTTTGTATAGCAATAAATATTCATGAATTTGAATAGCTTGTTAATGAATATTTTTTTACTCATATAGCAAATTATCGCAAACAAAATAAAAATTTATTCTAAAGCTTTCAAATAAAATTTATTATAATAATGTTTATATTTACCTGGTAAACAAATTGATTTTGTTCTTTACAAGAAATATTTGAATATCTAACTATTTAAGTGATACAAAAGAAAAAGAGCATTCTAATGATTAGAATATTCTTTTTTTTGGCACTATTCATTTGTAATATGATGATATAATATAAAACACATTATATATCTATATATAGAAATTCGTTCAAAGTTTAGTGTTATAATTTTCTAAATTATATGATTAATCTTTTTCTATAACTTCTTGTTAATATAATTGGCCTAGTGTAATTTTGTAATAATGCTATCTTGTCACTATTATATTATTTTTTAAAAGATAACCTGTTTATTTGATGCTTAATAAGTATGTAATATATACATAGTTTTATTTTCATACATATTCTTAATATTAACTAATTTAAAAAGTAAAGTAATTAAAATTCATAATTATATTAGATTCCAAACACAAAAAAAAAATTATACCAAAATAGGTAGTTAGCTTTTTTTATAACTTTTCTAATATCGTACTTGACAATAAAGTTGCTTTATATATTATTATTAAATTAATCTAGAATGTATTGGTATAAATTTTTTATTTTTCACTAACTTAAAAAGAAAGTAATAGAATCTATAGTCAAATTATAAAAGGAATAATAATATCAAAAGTAAGTTAGGATATATGAAAAGCTATGTAAAAAGCATAAAAATCAAATATTTAAAATCTTTAAAATCATGAAAAAAAATTTTTTTTAAAAAAGCTAGTATAAATAAAGTAAAATAAAAAAAGAAAATAGAATAAATTAATAAAAACATTTTTAAATCTCAATTAATATAAAAAATCGAAGATTCTTTTATTGAGAATAAAATAGATAAAATATAAAAAAACTTGTAAAATTTTATAGTAATTAATAAAGATATTTAATTTCGGATTATTTATAACTCAAAGAGTTCTTTTTTTCTTATCTTTAAAATTTTGTTTTGTATATTGCTTATTATTTTACTAAATTCTACTTAAAGTTATATAATTTTATCATATTGTTTATCATGAATCCTTTTACAACAATGATACTGGCTAGTTCGAATATTTCTCAACAAACAAAATCAAAAAAGCATGCTAGAGGAAAGCATAAATATTATCTTACAGAGTATATTATTATTACCGATAAATATATTAATCCGCAAAAGCCCAATGACAAATATTGCTATTGTTTGGCCTGTTATGAATTAAACTCTAAAAAGGTTAAAATTGTTAATAGAAAAAAATTAGTAAGAAATCATCTTAAAAACTGTATATATTTTATATGCAAAGTTGGTGAAAAGGAACAAGCTGAATATATCTTGAATAAAGAAGAATTAGAAACTTCTAAAAAGTTATAATTAGATGAAGAAGAAAGTAAATTATATATATTAATACAGTATAATATCTTTATTTCTATAATTATAACACTACTGTATATAAATATTATTTATTTTAGAATCTTCGGATGACAATAGCTTAGTTAGTTCAAAAACTGAAAGTAAAAAAATGGACCAATTTCTTGCCCATACACCAATATTCTTAGAACAAGCCCAATTTGAAGATCAAATATTAAATATTACAATAACAAATAGTTGGTCATTCTGTTGGGTAGAAGACAAAAGTGTTATTGCACATTATTGTTGGTTGAATTCTCATCTAGAATTACCTAGCCGTAAACAGTTAGCTGGATATATTTTAAAATCTGCAACTGATACTAACCAATCTTATATTTAAAATAAAGCACATAATGATTCACATGGAATTATGATTGCTTTTGACAGATGGAAAAATGTAACAAATCAGAAAATACTAGATTCAGTGTTAATTAAATCCAATAGTGAAACTTTAGTATAGAATATAATTGATATTAGTGGGCAAAAAAAAAAATATAAAAATATTATGAAAATTACTGAAGAAATATTTAAGGAACTAAATGTATTAGAAATAAAAATAATTGAACTTGTAACAGATAGTGACGCTGCTTATGCTGCTTCAAGGTAATATTAAACTTATTTATAAATATATATAGTAATACCTCTATAAGTATATACTTTTTTTTAAATATATTATTTTTATAAATATACATTTTTTTATTATTTACTAAATGTATTTATAGAGGTTTATATATTAAAGATACTATATAAATTAATTTAATTTTTTTTAATTATAGACGCAGACTTAGATTAAAATATTTAGATAAAGTTTTTTTACTATATTATGCCCATCAATTCAATTTGTGTATAGGAGAAATTTTTAAAGAATCCGATAGTTTTAATATAATAATGAAATCAGCAATTACAATTGCAAGTTATTTTAAAAATTCTAACCATTCTTATTTTATTAGTAAGCTTCATGATGAGCAGTATTCTTTGTATAAACATTTTATTTTATCAGCAAATCCTGTAAAGACACGTTGGAATAGCTATTATTACTGCATTAACTTTTTCTTAAATCAAAAAGTGCATTAAAAGTATATTTAATTAATTTTTTATATTATTATTTTTAATAAGCTTTATAAATATTATAATTCTAATTATATATAAATTTGCATATTATATAGACGCTTGTTGCTAAATTCGAATTTTCAGAAATAATATCAGATAATGAATCTTTAGGTCTTTACTTACATAAAAATATATACGAGATTATTAATAATGAACAGTAGTGGTCTCAACTTCAAGAACTTTCTCAACTTCTTCTTTCATACTGCATATATATTAACAAACTACAGTGTGACAAAGCATGATTATATGAAGTTCTCCACTGCATTTCTTATCTTATAAAGTTATATAAAAGTTATTCTGATAAAAATTTTGCTATCTGTATGATTAATCGTTTAGAGCACAGATAGAATTCCTAGGAACAGCCATTATTACTTCTTTCATTTCTTCTTCATTCTAAATATAATATATTAATGTTTAGTTCTACAAATGAATAGCTTTACTTTTAACTTAGCGATTGGTTAATATACTATTATTGTACTTGGTTTGGTAATGAATCTCTTACTCTTTTACCTGAACTTGAGAAATATCGAAAAGGAGAAAAGCCATTTACAGAATGTATTAGCAACCAGTTTAGTAATAATATTATGGGATATTGGGAATATTATGCTACATTAGCAAAAGAATTAAGTAATATAGCATGTTGTATTTTTGGAATTTGTGTTAATTTTGCTTTTGTCAAAAGGCTTTTTTCATATATAGGCTGGTTGTATAATAAGTCATGGTCGTGTTTAAAGGTTTGTTTAAATTTATTAATATTAACTTTTTAATTATTTATATATATTTAGATTATTAATTCTAAAAATTTTAGCCTCAAAAAGTACTTAATATGAGCCAACTTCGTGCTACTATAAATCGACATAATCATTTAAAAGAAATTGAATTATCAATGAAACAATACAAACAAACTAATGTTGCATTACCAATATTTAATAATAATATATCCGTGGTTGATAATAATTCAGATGATGAGGAAAAAGAAACTAATAAAAAAAATGAACAAGCTATTAGCGTAGATAATTGAAATGAAATCGTATAACAGTGGACTGTAATAATCTTCGAAGAAGAAGAAGAAGAAGAAATTAATCTTACTATAGGTGAAGATAATATGGATCGAATTGTTAATGATACAGAATATCTGGCTATTAACAATTATGCAAAGTGGAAATTAGAAACTTTGTTTAAAGATGATGTTCCTGTTCTAGCATTTATTTTTGATTTGTAATGATTATATAAATATTATTATTAGTAGGATTTTATAAGTAAATATTTAAATTGCATATTATATTTTTATCTAAATAAATTACAATATATTTTATTACCTCATACCAATTCATTCTATAGAATAACTAAAAAAGCACTGTTACAAAAATTAAGCTGAATAAATCAAACAAAATAAAATCTGTAAATTAAATTATTATCTATTTATGACTATTTCGCTATCTATAAATATTTTGTTAACTTCCATAGCAATATCACAAACAAGAATAAGTATTACCGTATATTTCCGAAAATAAGCTACTATTTTTGAGCAAAAAATTACACAAAAATTTCGGGAGTAGCTTATTTTCGAGCAATAGAGGTTTTTGACTGTTTTCGATTATTTTTATTAAGTAAAAGTAGTTTCTATATATAAAAGTCAAAATGGTACTAAGTAAATCGATAAAAGTAGCTTAATAGAAGTTGTTCAGAATTTAAAAATACATATATTTTAAAAGTTTTATGCAATTTGAATAACTTTTTATTAGTACACTTTTGCATTTTAAA